AAAAATGTCTCTACACAATTTTTCCTGTTAATAAGAAACATTTAGTCAAATAAAAAAGGGGGAAAAAACTAAAGTGATCAAAAACTAATTTTCTCAGATGAGAGCATTAGTAAAATACTAAGAATGTTGAAGTTGCGTACAGACTTGCTGCCACATGACCTTCAACTGAAGCTGTTGATTACGCTGGTGAAAAATTGAATGACAAAATCGAAAACAATCCTGTGACACGTTTCGTTCCTTCAAAGGAACTTTAGACTAAAATAATGCCCTTATTGATAGAATTTTATATATATATATATATATATATATATATATATATATATATATATATATATATATATATATATGAGGAGAAAACAAAAAACTAACAGGAATGGGACGTTGAACATTAAATTTAGCGTCGCTAAATAATCTGTATAGAATTCCACCAAGAAGAAAATTTTCTCTAAAATCTTTTTCTAGGGTTGAATGCATTACAGAGATATTTCTTTTCGATTTGGTGTTTAAATTATCCGATATTAGTCTTCTCTAGAGAGTTTATATCTCACATTTCCTTTAATAACGATGTGAAAATTTATATAGGTGTTGTCGATCTGAAGAGTCTTGTTGTCACTTGATCTCGAACAAATGCCATCTTATATGACGTGTGAATGTTCATATAAATTAAGACAGCAATAATAATACCAATAACGATACGTTCCTCGAGAATAAAATACTCTGGTACTGATATTTAAACAGATCTACTAATTCAGCCCTGAGGACTGGATCTAGTCGTCGTAAACAATATGTCAGCGAGTTGATTTCCTTGTTCTGATCGTCAGGTCACGAGTTCTGTTACCCGTAGATTCCTAGCGGTAGTGGTGTGTCTTTGGGTAAAATAGCCTGACGGAGACCATCGCTCTTCAGGCTGATCACCGATTAAATTTGAAGGGACCTAAAAAGTGCATGAAACTTGCCAGAAACTGAGTATGTTGAAATACAAACATGAAGATAACAAACCCATTGATGCGCTTAGAACAGTCTTAAAGAGGCTGGAGGAATTGGGAATCATGATTACTGAATATAATTAGAATATTAAGGAGAGTAACAGAGGATATCTCTCCTCAGCTCCACGGTATGTTATTTAGTTTGGTTCAAAACATACCAACTTTTCATTGTTTCACTATCGCTTAGAAAGGAATCGGATATTTGGTCACTGAAACCAGTATAAAGATCAAAGTGAACATCTCCTTAGCTCTTATCGATTTCATTACCGATACCATATTTCTTAAATGAATTAATCACCATATCAATTTTTTTTTCATTATTGATTGGTTCATTATTGTTAACATGTTCGTGTTTTGTCTTGGTCAAACACGATTGGCTACAGAAAATATCCCATTCAGTAACGCATATCTATTCGTCAATTGCCTGACCACAACCAGTTGATCCTGTCCCCTAAGGCAGCAGTCTCTAATCACCGGGCCGCGGACCGGTACCGGGCCATGAACTATTTGATACAGGGCCCTGGGATATTTGGTACCGGGTTACACAGAAAGAATAAACAGATTTTTTTCCCATTTTATTGACTATCGCGGTCTATGGTGTTTTGTCATGCGCCTCCACATCACGTCCGTGGAAAAATTGTCTTGCATGACACCAGTCCGTATGGCAAGAAAAGTCGGGACCGCTGTCCTAAGGGGTTGACGCACTATGCGTCTCCCTTCAGGAGCAAGATTAGTGGAAGAACATCATGGTCGGGTGGTGAGAGGATTTGCATATTTTTAAGTTTCAAGCTTTAGGCAGCCAATGTGACTTGGGTGTATCTTCTCAATAGTTGGGTAGATCCTCAATTGGAGGCCATCTGAAATGACTGGGTTATCCAACTTATTAAATACTACTAACTGAGCAACACCTGAAAGGTTATACTGTGCTTTTTATCAAAAAATTAACATTATATCATTTGGCTGTTTTGCCCAGTATGCTATAATCAGACTGTGTGTCATGATGTTTATATTGACCTTCGTATATTTGATGGTTCTCCAGCTGTCTTACTGCCCTCAATAATAATAATAATAATAATAATAATAATAATAATAATAATAATGCATTGGTTTTCAGAGTATTTCCGTACAAAATGTCCCTTTTTATATTTACAATATGATCTTTATAACCTGCTTGATTTTCAACATTGACAATCGTCATCATTCCATCCTTCTTTCTTGTTTATGTGTTTCGCGAAACTTCAAATCAGTTACATTCTAACTTAGTTTTATCTGAACATTTTACAATCACTTTCAAAGGCCCTTCCGTTCTTCTTCTTCTTCTTCTTCTTCTTCTTCTTCTTCTATGTGCGTTGTTCGTTCAAGACGGTGGCGATCATGGCTCTCCAGAATATCCTATCCAGTGTAACTTTTAATAATTTCTGCGAGACAGGGGTGCCATCTCACCCATAATCTGCTCTGCTATCCATTCACTTCAGTTCGGCACGTAGTTCGGGCGTTGATTTCCTCTGGTTCTCTTACCATCAGTCTGTCCTGTTAGCATCAAATTTTTCAAGCCCTAGGAAAGTATATTTTAATTTCATTTTTTTAAAATGAAAAGCTTCAAATGTTTCATCACCCAATTCGAATAGTCTAATTTTTGTATCTAGATGACTTCATTATAGAACGCCTTTTATCGGCGTTCTATAATAATTAAGCTATAGACAAAAGCCTTATGAGATATTGACTATAGAATGGAAACAAACAAAGTTGGCACCGGAGAACTGTTTCTATAGAACCTCCTATTTAGATATAAAATATTTACTACATTAATCCTCGATGTCTGCATCGAATTTCGAAACACAATATCACTCACACATACACACGTACGGAATAGATGGTCGTGCGCGGTTATTTAAAATTTGATAGTTTTCCAACATAGTCTCTGTTATTTGAGACACATCTTATATTATTGTTAATTTTTTTCTACTCTCAGTCATTTCAATTTCAACATCTTCTCCTTCATGTTTTTTTTTTTTTTAATTCCGAAAGCAAATTCATTTTGAATGAATTTTCCAAACAACCCTTCTATTCTGGACTTAAAAGAGAAAAGTGTATGTGTGCGTGCGTGCCCGCGTAACATCGAGACACCTACCTAACAACGTCCTGAGCATCCCTTCGTTTGAATAACAGCGGCTACGCAATGTATGCACTAAACGAAGGTCTCAAGTCGTTGCGAAAGTATATATCTTCGGGTATGTTCCAGAGTCGTCCTCATCGGAATATTTTGTTAAGTAACAATACCTAGAAGTTAGATCTACATCGAGTCGTATACGTGCACAATTTGTTTTAAATCTAACGTGCGCACGAGACAATAGTACGCGGAAGTCAGCTAAGTGTTCCGGGTTACAATATTCTATGACCTCGCATGATTGGTTTGCGGGTGGATTAACAAGCTGGAATACTTTCAATATCAACTGGTGCGAATGTTCTATATTTTACTCCTGTGGAAATAAACTCCAGTTTCATTCGGATTCCTTGTGAACTCCAACCGAAGAGCCCACATCTCAATCACCACTGGATGATTTTTTTAACCGTTTCATCTCAAGTAAGGCGATAATGCATACAGAAACACATACGCACAATATATATATATATATATATATATATATATATATATATATATATATATATATATATATATATATATATATATATATATATATATATATATATACACACACACACATATATATATATATATATATATATATATATATATATATATGTATATATATATTTTCTCAAGCTATTACCAAATTCCACGATATATGCTCCGAATTATAACATGCAATAATTAACGATAAAATAAACATATATACAGACTGTATCATATAAGCCACCTTTAAGCAAAAAATTAACATCGTATGATTTATATATATATATATATATATATAAAGAAATCTCTTGTTAGAACACAAGAAACATTAAATAAAAAAGCTTAACCGTTACCTTGTCTGTAGTTTTTAATGAAACATGCATAAATGAATGATTGCTGCCTAAATATGCAATACATATATATATATATATATATATATATATATATATATATATATATATATATATATGACAGTTCTTTATAAGTATGTAACATGCACTGAGAAGTAGCGATTGTCGCACTGTGGTCTATTGAATCCTGAGAGTCATTTATTTAGATTTATTTCTAATATGAAAAACTGAAAACAAATTTATCAAATATCATAGAAGTGTTAAAATAATAAAACGGTATTTTCCATAGGAATTAAGCATGCCTCACATAAACTGCGCAAATGTAAACAGACATCATGTAGGCCACGTAAACTATCTTATTTCATGATATGCTTTAAAAAAAAATGTCTTTTCCCAATTGGGCAATAATGGTTTGTTGCTGGTGTTGTCTGTTTCTTAAATTTTAAATGTGTCTTTCCTTCCTGTCCGGGTGCCTACTTCCTTTTCCGCTGTCCTTACCTGTATTTCTTTCCGGTGCTTTGGACTATTTACGATTTTCTTTCGTTTCTTATTTTCTTTTCTTTTTTTTCTGTAATAATTTACATTTGTCTTCTTTAAATTCGGGTCATGTGATCCGAAATCTGTTTCATATATATTTATCTCCTTTTCTTAGTCTGAAACAAAGTGGCTATAATAGAGTTCCCAGTGCTGACCCATCTCGCTACACTAGCAATAGCCTTCCTGCTAGATAACCTTCATTAACACAAGACAAAAATAGTGAGATAAAAATTTAACAATTGTCTAGATATAAACATTTATTTTTACTTTTTTACCAATTGGAGAAAACTAGTGAATCAAAAAAGACAATACTTTGCCAAGTGTGTTCGAGGCTTAATGGCCTGTAAAGGAAATTTTTACTGTTTTACATAATTTTTTTTGGTTTAACAGTGGTTTGGAGAAAGAGAAGCAGCTATGTTGTATTGAGGTATAGAGAGATAGAGGGAGAGAGAGAAGGGCAATTATAGAGATATATCCAAGTATAGACAAAGATCAATTCAAGTACAGAGATAAAATCAAGTACAAAGAAAGCGAGAGTGAGAGAGAGAGAGAGAAGTAAATCCAAGTACAGTGAGAGAGAAGGAAATTCAAGTACAAAGAGAGAAAAGGAAATTCAAGTACAAAGAGAGTGAGAGAGAAAAAAACAGAGAGAGAAAGTGAAGTACAGAAAGCTAGAGAGAGAGAGAGAGAGCCAAGAACACAAGTACACAGAGAGTGAAATCCAAGTACAGAGAGGGAGAACGAGAGAGAGAGAAATCCAAGTGCAAAGAGAGAGAGAGAAATCCAAGTACAAAGAGAGAGAGAGAGAGAGAGAGAGATCCTAGTACAAATGGAGAGAGTGAGAAATCGAAGTACACATATACAGAGACAAAGCTAAGTACAAAGAGAATGAGAGAACAGAGCTACAAAGTGAGAGATGACCCAAGTACAAAACATGAGACACGTACAAGGAGACGGAGAGAGACAAGTACAACGAGCGAAAGAGAGAGAGAAAGAGAGAACTACAGATATATATAAGGAGACAAGTACAGAGAAAAACATATGTAGAGAGAAAGAGAGAGACAAGTACAGAGAGAGCGAAGAGAGAGGAAGAGAAATACAAGGAGAGAGAGAAGTACAAATAGAAAGTGATAGATAGATAGCTCTTCCTGTCATCAATTGCTAACTGCTCTCTATACCAATTATCAAACGGTGATTAGAGCACTTGACTCAGAAATACTCTCAAGTGTTTCAGACGTTTCAAAAAGATTCTTTCCACTTTCATTTTCTTCATTAAAAGATAGCCGAGTGAATGATGTGCTTAAATTGACTAACCAAACAAATGACTCTTGATGATAAAAATACAAAATAATATAAAGAAACCTCCTATGGTCCTGGCTTCTTCCTGCTCTCAACGCTAAAAGAAGTGATTTAGGAAATACTTGGTCAAGTTTGTTTTACATACTAGGTCGATTCTTCATCTGAACATCATATAGTACCCTATACACACACACACTATATATATATATATAAGTAATTATGCTCGTTTGGAAAAACCTTAGGTGTTTTGGCTTGTAAATGAACAAACCAATACCCAAGGAAAAATAAGGAATAAAAAAATAAAGAATTAAGAACATGTAATTCAGACGAAAACAATCGTCCAGGATCCAAGCTCAGAGTCCAAAGAAAAAAACCTCCAAGACGAGTAAAGCAAAAATAACTAAGCAAAGTGCTCAATACACTAAATAGATCAAATCTGACTATGAACCTAAAGAGCCAGGAAAACCTACCTAGGTTTCACCTACGCGTCATCGTCAGGGTACGCTGGCCCCTGGCTCTTTAGGTTCATAGTTATATATATATATATATATATATATATATATATATATATATATATATATATATATAAAAAAAAACAGACCACTTTAAGATTCCATTATAATAATTTATTTCACCAGAGCCCTTTTAAAGGACTCTGGATCATCAGATAGCACTTCCAAAAGATGAAACGAAACGAAATGAAATGAAAATTCATACTTTTAATGGGTAGTGTAAGTTTTTGTAATTTAACAGAGAGGGTAATGAGGCGTGGTTTGAGAGACATGGTCGAGTTTAGAGAGGGTTTATTTAATATTTCTTTCAATCATACTTAGTATTGGGGGAGGAGGGACCAGGCCTTGACCATAACTGATATATATATATATATGAACACGCTAGTAACTATTATTTACATTTATCATTTTTGGTAAAAGCCATCATATTAAAGAATCCATTTTCGAAAATAATTTTCTTACTCAAAATATAATAATTTATGCGCCTATCGAGTCGTTATGAAAGCTCCAGTATTTAAACATTTTAAAAAGCCAAAAACGTTTGTTTACACAAAACGATTTTTAGATTTTACTCTTGGTTAAAAAACAAGAAAATTACTTTCCATATTGATATTTGCTAATCTTAGCCTCATAAGGCACAAGGTTATGAGTATAGAGCACCAACTTATTATAAACTTAGTAAAAAAATACTTTTATTCAACGGCGACGAACCATTTTATTAATTAAACTTTATATTAATATGGGCGCGTGGACGACCATGGGAACCTGATTCTAATCCCCCCATGCTTGCTTGGTTAAGGAATTTCATGCCTCAGTACTATCTTGCTCTGAAGATCGCACTAAGACCTGAAATTAACAGTCACCATGTAATGTTGATTCCTGTATCCACCCGGTCTGCCTCTCATTTATATAAGCTGAAAACATTGCAAGCACAAATTGGGGACAGGAAAATAGCAAATTGACAAGTATTTACAGTTCAACGACCTTCCTTGAACATCAGCATCCAGTCCTAATTTCCAATACAGTTTCTCAGCGCCAGTAAAAAATACGCAACTAATTTAGCCCCAAAAGTAAGTGCTTACATATGTTTGGCTTAGTATTGTATAAAGCCCAGTAGAACTAGAAAATTTATCCGATAATCCTTTTGATAAAAATAGTTGTAAGTATTTTCAAAATCAACTTGTAAATATCTATTTTAAACTTCTATTTTAAACAGAAAACAAAGTGTTGTCTATATTTTTGTTGATATTTAATAATGGTAATATTAACCTTTCTTTTTCTTTATTTTAATCATTCCACCCCAAGCAAGGCAATAAAGCCATTAAAAAGTAAGGGGGTTACTGAGTGTTAGAACATCCGAGATAAATATACAATTAAGGAGAGAAGACAATAAAAGAACAAGAATTAAGACAGATTATAATGAGTGACATTGCACTGAATGTTTCCTTTTAGGGAAACATTCGACATCCATTAATCGAGAAGCCAGTGCTGCAATCCGTTAAAATTCATCTTTCTATTAAAACAGTTTTTTTCAGGAAAAATATATTTCTCAAGTCTCAGTATTTTTGGGTCTTAACTCATAACCTTAGTTCAACACGTCAACATCTTGATTATTTCATTATCATTCTCTTCGATTTACACATGCTATCAATTTTTCTGTTATCGGCCACAGTACTTTGTGATTCTGTAGCGCCAGTCCACGAGGCTCGAAAAAAAAAAAAAAAAGGTCCTTGCTAAGACTTAGACTTTCATTCGCTCGAAGCCATTTTTAATTATTGATTTGAGAAAGCGGTTAACTGATGTACGACTATAATCGAGAACTTCCTAGTGATAATACATTTGTTTTTTTTAAAGATTTTGAGAGATAAGCCTTTTTTACCATTACTCTTGTGAAGAATAAACCAATTTTCCTCAAGGTCAGGTTATTGGAGCCACTTGTAAAAGTTCAGCACCTGTGTCATATTAAACATGTTTTTTTTTCATTGTTTTATGTCGCAAGCTACCAATACAGTATCTGCTTTGTGCATTTAGATATTTACTAAAAAGTAATTCACTCCAACGCAGGCAAACCTGAAGAAATGCATAACTAAAAGATTGTACTGTGCCAATCTCCCAAGTGATTTCACCCTCCCCTCCTGAGCGCCAATCAGTGGCGCATATCGGAATACAACCAACGCAAAGTTTTCGGTGCTCTACGTGAGTCTGTAAGAAGTTCAATTTGATTTTGCTTACAAGGCAAAACTTAGAAGCCAAAATAATTGGATTCTTTTTAAAGTTCGCCATTTTTTACCTTCGAAATTCCTCAAATTCATTCACGATTATTTTGATTTCATTTCAAGAAATCAATTCCAGTTTTACCCCATCCATTCCACGTAAGTACCATTCGACGGGGATTAAACACTAATCTCTCTTCGACTTTAATCTCACTTAAAATTAAAATTTAATTTGGGAGTAGATTAAAAAAGAACGTCGTGTAGCTATACTCTCTTTTTCTGTAAATAAACAAACAAGGGGACACTTCCTCAACAGTCCCACCATACAGCTGGTTATGATTATAGGGATTTCATCAACTGCGACAGCAGTCAAGAGGAAAGACGGGTGTAACTTCAATGGGGTTGGCACAAGTGAATTTTGGGGTAGATGACAAAGGGACAGGAAAAAGAGAGAGAAAAGACAAGGGGACAGGGAAGAGAGAAAGAGAAGACAAAGGCGACAGAAAAAAGAAAGAGAGAGAAAAGACGAGAACAGAAAAAAGAGAAAGTGAGATATAAACAAAGGAACAGGAAACAGTGAAAATGAGAAAAGACAGAGCGACATGAAAAGAGAGAGGGGAGACAAGGCGACAGGAAAAGAGAGAGAGCGAAGACAGGGGAACAGGAAAAAGAGAGAGATCAAATGGAAACGGGGGAAAAAAAAGAGAGATAAATCAAGCGGCAGGAAAAAGAGAGAGATAAGAATGGCAAAGGAAAGAAAGAGAGAAGACAAGGGGACAGTAAAGAAAGAGAGACGACAAGGGGACATGAAAAAGAAAGAGGACAATAGAATAGGAAAAAGAGAGGAGACAAGGGGTCCAGAAAGAAAGAGAGAGAAGACAATAGGACAGAAAAAAATAGGGTATAAGCGGAACGCGAAAAACGAGAAAACAGGAAAGAAAATAGAGAGAAGACACTAATTTTTTTTAAAAAATGAGAAAACGAGATACGAAAAACTAACAGATGGAAGAATGAAACTGTAAGTAAACAAATGTTTAAATTAAAAGATAAATTAAGAAGGAAAGAAGATGGATTAAGTAGAAAGCTAAAGAAGGAAAAATAGTGAAGATTAAATGACAAAAGAAGGAAAAGGAACAATCATGAAATGGGAAAAAAAAATGAAAGAAACATGAATTATGCAACAGAAATAAAGAGAAAGAAAAAAGGTGAAAAGAGGCAATGTTAACTGAAAAAGAATTAACGTTAAAATAGAAGTGAAAAAAAAATGGCCAAAACATGGAATTTAGAGAAACAAAATAAAATGAAAACTAAAAAATAAATTCCCCAAGCCAAAACAAAACTCCGATTTCTCTTGTTTCTATATTAACAGCCGCTCAATCTGAACCCGACCGTTGCTCCATGATGCTAAATACCAGGGCTGTTTATCTGGTTGGGTGAGAACTTTGTCAAATTATAAAAAGATTAGTCACATGTTACCGAATCATAGTCATTGGTTTGTTTGGTTGCGGACAAGAGATTTTTATCACTTGCATGGCTGACTGCACATTTTACAGAAGCGAAGTTTGTTTGTTTGGTTTTTTTTATTTTCGATTTTTATCACAATATCCTCGTATCATTTCCTAGCAATTACCATTACTTAATGTTGTCAGAAAATATATTACAGGATATCGACAATTTCCCTACCAAACTCTCTGTAAACTAAACCTTGCTGCTTAAGCCTAATCAGTAAATAACTGACGTTTATCACACACATTCACACACATTCTCTTTGTGTGTGTGTGTTTATGCAACGATTTTTAACCCAACCATTCATTAATTAATTGTGAGATTTCAGAAGCACTACTCTCTCCACCACAAGTGTTCAACTTTCAATTAAAACCCTACAATACCAAATTTATCGTAATTCGCGCTTACATTACTAAATTCTTAATTCCGATCATTCCACGTTCTCTTATTTAATGCCTATTATATTATTATTATTATTATTATTATTATTATTATTATAAGTAGTAATAATAGTAACCTTGTCAAAAGTCCCTTTGTATAGTTTTTTTGTTCCTGCATAAAATGTATGTTTAAGTTTTACGGGATAAGAAACTTAATTTCATTAATCTATATAGTGGAAATCCCTGAGTCTTCTACATTCGTTCTTATATTTTTCAATAAAAATAGATTCGGAAAGAATATCCCGTGTTTAAAATACTGTCTAAAGAATTTCATATTGATTGAAACAAATATAAAATTCCATTACTTAAAAAAAAATCGTAATTTAAATATTGAAAATGTTAAACCTCATAATTATAGCCGACGTTCAGGTTTACGTCCTCCCCACACCCCACATAAAATTCCATCAATAAGAATATTAGTCTGAAGAAGTCCTTCTACAGTATGAAACGTGTTACTTAAAATGTTTCCACTTTTTCATTCAATATTCTTACACTACTTAAAGTACAAAACAGCGCTCAGTTGTGATAAAAACGTTCATTTCTTTTAGATCAGATTTAATACTGTTTGGTTTTAGATTATCAGATTTAATCTGATCATAGAAAATCCCTTAAACATGAGCGTAAAATTATCTGAATAAAATGTTTCCTTATATTATGCAAATGTAAAACCATATTCACAAACACTAATTCCCACATATTGTTTTTATATACATTAAGTTAAGTATGAGTGTCTATTTATACAAAAGAATTATTTTGATTTTGTAAATGAACGCCCCTGTCATTAAGTGCCATGCTTAATTTGGATACAAATATTAATGAAAATTATCTTTCTTTAGAAATAAAATTCTATTCAAACCCTGGATGTTGAGTGAATATATTGTTTTTTTCTTTTATACAGCGCACAATTTCGCATTCTATGAGTAATTCTGCTGAGAAAAAGTTGATGAATAACAGTCGCCCCAATTCCTTCCACTATCCCAAATAAAATTTCACTGTATAATGCGCAGGTGCGTATAAGCGCGTTTTTCTCGTATAAAGCGCATAATTTCCCATTCTGAGGCCGTCTATGAGTAATTCTGCTGGATAAAAAATCATGAACAACAATCACCCCGATTCGTTCGACTATCCCAAATAATTTTCAGTGGATAATACGCAGGTGTGAATGTGCCGGTGGTTAGACGCTCGAAACAAGAAATCAGCGAGCCAAGTTCGAATTTCGGTCGATACTCACTCTTGCATTATCTTCCTAAAGCATTGCTTATTTATGTGGGGTACGTTTTCTACTCAAGTCATTCTTACCGGATCAAATATTTTTAGTATTTCTAGAAGTTGTTTCACTGAATTTGCATAACTGAATGGGATGATCTAAGAACAGTTGAATTGAGAAGAATAAAGATCTGTTAATTTATTTGGATATATGAAAATAGATCACATCATATGAAAATAGTAAAACCGATTTCAACCCAAAGCTCAAGAACTCTCCTGATCTGTCAAAGATTGAGTAACTACTGCACATTTTCACCACAATGCAAGATCAAGGACACTATTTTAGACATGATATCAAGCTTAAATTGTCCGTGAAAATTACAGCTCTTAAAGCATGAGGTTTTCAAAATAGATATGATTTTCGAAATTGAATGCTAACACTGAACTTCACCTAAAATGCAAAACTAGCATATTTATGAATTATGTTTAACTTTCCGAAGCAGCAGACATTTTACCAGTGTAATGAGTAACCATTGAAGATACACCAATATGTGACCTTAAAATTAAGAAAGTTTTGACCGTAATTTTTTACTAATGTTTACCCAATAAAAGGCCCAAGAGCCACTCAAGTTACTGAAGTTTTGTTATATTATCATATAAAAAGACAAACGTTAGGAGTATAGAGCTGAGGTAGATATTAGAAGGAAGAGGAAACCCAATCCTAAACAGGGAACCATGGAAAAACCTCTACTCCTGTCTAAAAGACCGAGGAGAAATGTGGACCGGACGATAGGCGAACCTATCTACTCCTATTTGTGGAGAAGAGAAAAAAGGAAACAAATAGTGAATAAACTTTCAGAGTTCCGACACAGACGTTAGCAGTAAAGAGCTGAACCAGATTTTAAAAGGAACCGGAAACCCAGTCCTAAACGGAAAACAATGGATGAACCTCTGCTCCTGCTCATAAGACCGGATGGGGGTGGGTGATGATGCCTAAAAGTTCTGAAAAGTTCCCCCAAATGTTTGACATCAACATCTTTGTCAGACGAGCATCAAGTCCATAACACATATGAAATAATCGCCGATCGAATAATACAACCAGATTACTTAATTGCATTTCAGTGTTCTAGCCGAAGTAAAAGCCAGGATTTCAAATGCTGAGTTACGAAAAAGCAAACAAGGCTATTCTATTTGGAATACTGGCGCAACACAATTTTAAATTTCCTTTCATTTATCTTTGTCATACTAAGCTTCGTAAATAACTGAAGCCTGATTAATGTAACTGCATATTTCTTACTGACAACATTGATCAATGTCTATATCCATATTAAAACCAGTTGGACAGTTGGCGCAATATAATCTTCCTGTTTGTACTTTCCCTTCACGTAGATATCAATTACAGTAAGTATAGATTTTTTTTAAAAATCGACATTAAGCACCGGGCGACCAGGAAAGCCTAATTGTTTCCTATGTGACAATAGTCGAATCGCTGCACTGAACCGTTGAAACATGCGTGAAAGTAGGCAAACCAATGAAGTGGAAAGTAGGCGCGAACAAAAGATTTCACAATAAAAAAAAAATGTCAATCTGAAATGAACTTGTCGAACCCTGGCACTGAGAGAGCGAGAAAAGTGTCCAAAGTAAAAAAAAAAAAAAAAAAAAAAAAAAAAAAACTTGCGTTGAGACAACGGCAGAAAAAACGAGTGAGATTTAAAGAGAGAGAGAGTGAGTGAGTGAGTGTATAATGTTCATATTTTTTTTTTTTTAGTGTAGAAATACAAATCTATTGAAACATGAACTAAAAATGAGTTATTGAGAATCGAAACAAGGCCGTTGGGGAGGGCTTGAGTTTGTCAGGCATGACAGTATAGGACATGAGAGATACTGGGATATCTTGTGTAAAAAAAAAAGTCGTTCGATTCTAGCTATTGATCTGTATGAGGTGTCAATTAAGGACTAAGGAAAACGGGACAAAAAACTCAAACTTAAAACGATTAATTCGGTAAAGACCAAGTAAATAGACAGGGTTAAATTGCTATAATGGAGTTTTCCAATGAACGTCGCTAAATCATATCTTACAGTCAATAATATAATCGAGATTTAGGTTATTAAGTAAAAACTTGTAGGTGTTTATAAATAAAAAAACTGATTGAAAACTATTGTTCAATTTGTACAAATGCTTCGGTTACATTTATTTTCTTTTACTTTTTATCATATCACACCATGCAATGCAGTAAAGCCACTAAGACTCAAGGGGTTACTGAGTG